TAAGACGATTTCCTTAGATTAGGAATACACAAAATAATAAATAAACAATTTATATACTGACGAAGAACTCTCCTCCTCCTCTGATAACAGGAACCAGAGCAGAGGCCCATCCGCCCAATCTCCCTCTACCTCGAAGGACCCTCAAGAACAGGCAAAACCGCTTGGCCCAGAAGCCTCGGACGACACAATTACTTCTCCGGCAGAATAAGCTTCAAGGACTACGACCAACGTTGGTTCCAGTGAGATCGAAAATTCTCGGGTTGGAGGTTTGGATCTTCTTCGTGCATTGAACCATGGCATGAAGGTGAGGGTTTCCATCTTCATGGAGAATATCTGAGGCTGGACCCAGATATATAGACAGCTGTAAATACGGAGATTCGGAATTAAAACATTAGAAAATTCTGCTGCATCCATAACAACTGATCCTCTACGATCAACTTCCTCTTTGCTAACACCAACCTCCGAAATCGACAGACCAGGATCAACATCAGTAGATTCATCACCACCTCTGCGTACATCAATCTCTGACAAACTCAGACGACCTTTGCGTTCATGAATGACTGAACCACTTTCCCCAAAACCTCCTAACAAGAAATCTCTTCGCCGCTCCGATAAACCAACAGACTTAGTCCGTGTCAGAATCAGAATGGCCTTCGTTGGAGGACAATGCCAGACATCAACATTATCATTAGTATATTTTTTAGATAACACAACAATAGAGGGGGCCCTCATTTGCGAATCTTCTGGCATGTCACTCGTAGAATACTTCAGATACCCCTTCATTTTACAATACGTAACCCCCCTTTTAAAATTAGAATTTTCAAGTCGATACTTCACCATCTATGGCACCTGTTTGTCGTTAATTGAACAATAACCATTCCCATAATAGACTAACTTGCATTGACAATCTACTGGGAAAATAAACCATGCCTGCAAATTGTCGTTACCGTCTAACCTCCGATCATAAACATTTACTCTGACCAACCCACTAGCATTGGGTGCGCAAAGGGAGGAATATTTTATCAATATTTTATCAACCTTAATACTTTTTTGTTTGTATCTTAACCTCAATTGAGAAAATAAATTAGGCAACGCAAGTTCAATACAACTGAAATCACTTGCCGAAACACCTTCAACAACCCCAGTTTTTATATCGTCCACCTCCATTAACCTGAACATTAAAAATAAAAATACATCAAATTACAATTCTAAACAGTTTTAAAGTACATTTGACTCCTTAAAGTAATTTTGCATTCCTTCCCACTAACAGTAGCAGCCACTAAATATATGGCACCCTTTTGAATGCTTCCAACATTTCCCAACACCTTGCGTACCGGAGGTCAAGGACACCGGCGGCCAGTGGATATAGGCGTAGTTACCGTAGTCGTGCACCTTTTAAGACCCAGTATGTTCGCAGACGGTACGTTCAGAATATTCCCCGATTTATTAAGAAGACTAAGAGGGGAGTAAGGAAATTACAGCTATACGATGAACAATTAAGGGACGTTAAGTTTGATAATAAAGGCGTGGCGAGATTACTTAATGGTATTGAGTTGGGTAATAAGAGATCTGACCGTCAATTAGACAAGATCGTGGTTAAGGGTATCAAATTCATTGGTAATGTTCAATTGGGCCAGGATGCTAAGGACGAAGCTGTGGTCCACCATGTGTTGTTTGAAAAGTTAGGAGTAAAATTAATATTTTATTAACAGATAAAATTATAATAAAGAAAAATAGTGACGATATATCATTTTTAATAATTTCAATCTTTTATGTTCAGTTTGTTGGGATGGGAAAATTTTTTTTAACAAAAAATATCTTTTATGGAAAAGTGTTTTTAAAAAATATTTTTATATGTTTAGTGTGGTGGTGGAACGAAAGTAGAGATAAAGATGGTGGCGTAGTGATATTGTGATGATGGTGATAGTAGTATCGTGGTGGAGATGATATTGGTAAAATTTTAATTTTAAAAATACTTTTTTCCTTTTAAAAATGAAAAATATTTTTTGTTTAAATAAATTTATTTTTCAGATACTTAGTAAGCAAAATTTTAGTCCTCATTTGTGATGTTGGTTATTTTAGGTAGACTTTTGACTTTTTGAATATTTTAGCCAATGTGTATAGTTTGATTTTGGGAGATAAATTTTGAAATTTTTTTTTGAAGAGAGAGTTTAGAATTTTTTTTAATTTGTTTGGTTTTATGTTTGGAAATAGTTTTGGAGTATGAGAGCTTGGAATGATTTGATATTTTGTTGTAGTTGAGTAGATGCACGTGAGAGAAAAAGTAATTGAAAAGAAGAGAGGAGAGAAAAAAAAGTGATTGATTGATGTGTAGGAAAAAAAAGTGATTTTAGAATTTTTTTTTTCCAAAATCACTAAAACAAACAAAATTTTTAAAAAATTTCTCCAAAAATATTCCCTCAAAATCAAACCAAACAAGGCCGTTGTGTTTTGAATGATTTGTGAATTTTTGTATAGTTGAATAGATAGTTGTAAGAAAAAAAAATGATTAATAAATAAAATGTAATATTTTATTTTATTGATAATTTTAACATTTTTTAGTTTTATTAACTATTTTAAGTAGAAATTGAAGACAACAATGCCTAATGACAAATAAAAAATCAGATTTTTCGTTTTTTGAACGCGAATTAAAATTCAAAATTAAAAATCATTTTAGGAATGTTACATTTAATGAATCTAGGCTTACTTGAATTGTTTAAATTTGTACATGTTGATCATTTGTCGGTCATTCGAGTAAGGCCTCGTTTGGCAAGAGGCTATTTTAGCCAATTAGTAAAAAAGTTACTAAATTAGCCAAAAAGCCAACAACCCATACCAAAAAGTCAAAGATTCTCTTTTCTCTCTACTTTTTGCACATCTTTTCGTAATTAGCCAAAAAGTCATCCCAAACATACAAGTTTTTTTACCTACCTTTTTAGCCAAATAGCCAAAAAGTTACTAAATTAGCCTGTTCCCAAACGAGTCCTAAATATTGATCGATAAGAATGGCAGTTATAATTGACAAGGATGTACGTAATTCAAACAATTCGAGTGAGGTTAAATTCAATCAATCGATCATTTTTTAAATCATTTACGTTATGTTTGGTTGAGAAATTTGATGAATTTTTTTAAAAAGATAAAATAAAATATGAATAAAATATACCTACATTAATTTCATACGTCTTTTTTCTTTATCTTTTCAAATCTCTTCCTAAATTACCAAACCAAATGTCTCACAGCCGAACAGAGCATTAATGAATTTTCAAATCTCTCCCAACCAAACAGAGCATTAATGAATTTTCCGGGCTACTACCCCAACCGTCTCACAGCCGCCACAGCCTTTGCTCTCCTTCCGAAGCTCCATCGATTTCTTTCTTTCTTCTTCTTCTTCCACAAATTTCATTATCAGCAAAAAAAAGTTTCCAAATGACCCAAATTTGAGTATGCCTCGCAGACTAGATTCGATTCACGCCATAGAGTCCTGCACATTCCACCTCCACAGTTGGAGACCATTTCACCTCCCAACAACAACAACAACAACAACCCTAGACTCCGATTCAACCACCTATACTTCAACCACCTATACTTCGAAACCCTACTTCTCTACCACCCCTAAGAGGCCTTGTCTCTCCGATCGACCAACTTCCTTCCCGATCGACTCTATCGACATGTCCAGGCTGACTTTGTTTGATGATGATCGATCCAATAACCGAAAAACCCTCCACTGGATCGTCCGGAAGCGGCGGCGGCGAAATGGGTCGCGGTCGGTGTCCGGGCGGAGCAGTGATCGAAGTGGCACTCGCCGGAGGTCTTCGGCTGCTTATGCTACTTGTTCGGATTTTCCGGTTGCGGCGGGGACGGATTCGAGTGGGGAGTTGTTTTTGAATGGGGATGCGAATTGGGCGTCGGATGTGAGCGACGTAACGAAGAATTCGAGGAGGGAGAGGGAGGGTGGAGAGAATTTGAGTAGTGGGTTTGGGCAAAGTGGGAATTTTGATTTTTTGGGGAATGAATCTGGGTATGGGAGTGAACCGGGGTATCGAGGCGATGCAGAATTCGGATATGGTGATGAGTTTGATGAAGAAGAGGATGATCATCGAGTGCTGTTTTGGGGCGAAAAAATCGAAGGTAAAAGCTGCAATTTATGCTTCTGAATATCATTTGCTAGTTTTTTTGATTACATTGCACACAATTGCTGTTGATTTATTGCTTTTAGTTTATTGGGAATTTTAAATAGAATACACTATTGAACACTCTGATTTTAATTTCTATGCATGTTCAGAAAGCGTTAACAAGGTTTGTCTTGAGGGCTTTGGAGATTATTTAACTCAATGTCTCTTGTTTAGTTTGGAGCTAATGAAACAATTGAGCGCAGTTGTGAATTTTGGAAACAATGATAATGTTGTGACTCTTTGTTTTGCATTTTGTTGTTTTCTTGAGCTCCTCACTCCCCAAGAAAGCAAAAACCAAAAACAAAAAGAAAAAGAAGAAAAGGAAATGCATTTATGTATATCAGTTGTTGACACCTACAGATATCTATTTGATAGGTGCAATCGAAATTCCTGTCCAGACTTGTTGAGGAGAGGCAAAATTGGAATGCAAAAATATGAATGTAGGGAATTAATGGTAAAAGTGATAGTAGTCTAAATATGGAAGTCAAGGTTGACTTGTTACCTTCGCCTGGTTGCTCGAAAATACTTTTGGTGGGAATTTTACTTACTTTTTCACGTCGCCCCAGCAATTCATAAAGTGAACTCCACAGTCATAGTAATGTTAGTTATTGAACGATGTCAAATCTTCGCCACCTGTTGATGATGACAGGCGAGATGGTACTTGCCACCTCCTTTGTTGTTCTGCTGGTGAAGTGATCGATTGTGTTTGGTTATGCTGCTGGTTAAAAGCTTAAACCTGATATTGATGGTGTTTGTTTCCCTTTCTATGCAAACAGGTACAGATTCTAATACGGAGATGGCTGGTGAGAAGACACTGCAAAAGGCCCATCATAGATGCCGGCGTAAGAAACATGATGTGAGAATGGTTGATCCACTGCGGTGAAAGACTGTTGACAAACAAACATACATGTCATGATTTCAACTTCTTTTCTCAGCTTCCACCATGAAAGAAATTTTCATTCCTGACTCCGCTGCTGTCATATATTGCTGTAATTAGATATACCAAAACTGTTGTGCAGCACCTTTGTTCAGTTCTTGAGCAATCTTTTCTGGGTCAGCAGTGTCTAGATCTGGCATCTTTGCCTCTTCTTGCTTGTAGTGATTGTTAAAATGATGATTGAGAAAGTGTAATACCTAATTTGAAGTTTGTCAATAAGCTCAATTTTGAGATCCAACACCCTTGTTTAGCAACTTTTTTATTTTATTTTTTTTGCTGTATATTGTCGGGTGGAAATGTGTCTGAATGAAGAATATCTAGATATGAAAAGCTTGTTTTTGGATTGCATTTGTGATATTCTTAGGAGTGATTGGGAATTGACTCTTTTTTAGTGAATTTTTAATTTTTTATAATAAAGAAAGTGCAAAAAAGTAAATAATAATTTGACAATTTATAATGATTTTTTAATTAAAAATTCTAGTTCTCAAACAACGCCTTAATGTGCTTCTGGAGAAAAAATTAACCTTCCCTCACATTATTACATTTGTATTTACTTACACTTTTATCTATCAATTTGTACAATTACTCCCTTTTAATGAGAAGTTGTTGGTTGGTCTGGAGTATCGTCACATGCTGTTCTAATAGTATTGTGATTGATGAAAGAAGTGTGATCTATAAACTTGTGTTAAGTGATTAGAAAATATGATAAATTGTCATTAGTATGAGATACGTGACACCTAAGACCAACCAATAATTTTTCCTTTTTAAATATTAAAATTAATTAACTTTACCCTAAACGGTTAGCGAGGCCCGTAATTTAACAGAATATCACATCTATCAACATCAAAAGTATTGATTCACTTTGCCTTCACATTAAAGAGATAAATAAGGAGACAAATAGTTAGATGTCATGCAATAAACACAATTAATTGTTTTGAAAATATTTAATAAAACACAAAATACAATTGATTACAATTTACAACAAACTACTTTATCTAAATACAACCAAAATAAGGAAATCATGCAAATAAATAATTTCGCTTGAAGTGGACTAATTTCAATAGTGTAAGAAAAATAATTGTTCGGGATAAAGTGAAATAAATATGTTAATTTGAAAGGTCAAAATGAATTTTTTCTGAGGGTGGTCTCTAGCGACGAAGATTCACCATACAAAACAACAATAACAATAACCTCCAAAATTTGTTCTAAAGAAAAACCCAAAAAGCAACAGAGTTCTTAGGGTTTCAAATGTTTGAGATTTCATTTGTGATGTCAGTCCAGTTCGTGTTACATATGAATAAGACTTGCTCATCAATGTCAGAACAGTAATTAGTGCAGCCCATTGAAATTTGAACATAAATTTCTACATACTGTGAATAATCCAATAAAAAATAGAGTTTAAGATATTCATAATTGAACTTAAAACTTTCACTTATCTTGGAATTGAATCTACAGCTCATTTTCCGTGAACACAAGAAAACAAAAAAGGTATTATCAAGCTATATTTAGATCTTCAATGACAAAATTGGAAGCTCATTAAGATTGGCACCCTGTAGAACTGTTCCCAATAAACAAAAATAAGATAAAATAAAAATGAGCCACCTAACTGCTCGACTCAACAACCATTAAACAAAGTGTCCACAAACAAACAGCTGGGAGCTAATCTTCCACCATTTCTTCCTCAACTTCTTCCTCATCCTCTTCCTCTTGCTGCATTTTCTTTCCACCATGATTTTCTGGAAGGAACAGAGAAATATAAGAATTGGGTGCAATAAAGGCCTAAGAGGGGAACTTAAACGCATAGCAGAGTCTGAAAACTTCAGATCTAGTTTGCACAGGAGTTTCCCGTACTGTGCTCCTGTGTGTAAAAAGTAACATAAACATTGAGTAGAATAGTGACATCATGTGACATTATCACAAATCAAGGAGAAATTTATTATAGCGGTAGTGGAGATTACATGGTTGATGGTCGTGTTATTGGGCAAGAAGGAATATTCACCTAATTCCGTTTGCGGTATTTTATTGGTCAGTGACGCTATGTAGGAAGCTGTCACCATTCATTGCACTCGATATTTACGCTTTGAGAGGGTGGCTTTACATGCCAATTGAATTAAGTATGCAATCTGACTAAAATCATCAAATCACAATGAAATTTTATAGGAAAATTTATCAGCCAACAAGAGCAGGTCGTAGGTAAATGAAAAAGTTGGCAGCGAGGTTGGGTAAATGGCTAGAGGGAAACACAACAGGTTTAAGAATTAAGATAAGTTGCACATATGAACATTTAAACAACAGGTTTGCAGAGAGAATACTACCAGCTATTACCTCTGGTTGCACCAAGGGGTTGCAACCCATATACAAAATCTAAATCAACTATACAACCAAAACTTTTCAGAAGTCTCTACTACGTCCAAGAAATTGGTTCAAGATGGGTATATATTGAGCTGAATATAATAAGGACAAAATTTTACTTGGTCCGCACCAATAAGATCATTACTATGGACATGAGTGGGACTGTAATTTGAGAATGATCTCATAGATTTGCATACTAAATTTTTTTCCGCAGTAGAAAAAACACGAGGTAAAATGTTATATAAGATGAACATACCATATTCACTGAATATGACTCCACCAGAACACAATCCTTCCTCAATTTTGATGAGGTGAAGAGTCAACCTAGGTCCAATCTCTTGAAGCTTGACAGCACTTTTTGTAGAAGCTCAGTTAACCCTACCAAGATCTGCTTCCTCATTTGCTTCGCTTTCTGATCCATAACCAGCCCTTCAGGGGAAAAGACGAGAGCAAGAATGATCAACATCCAAACTGACATAAAATTTAAAAATTGGTTGCAATTTGTAGCTAGACCATCCTAACTTCTGATTTCCTTGTAATCATACCTCTAATGATCACAACACACAAAAGACTAAGAAACAATTACGTGTCACATAGAAAGTTTCCTTGAACTGTTTGATATTTAATATGGATACAGATGATATATATTCTACCGTTATCACTTTATACATTATATTGAATTGGATAACACATTAGCTAATAGCTAGTGATTTAACTGAAACTGTGGCCCTTGATCAAGCTGAATGGAAAAAACAGGATTCGCATGGCTTAGTCCCAAGTAATTGGGACAAAGCTTTGTTGAGTGGATTAGCCTATTGAATCAGATAACCAACAAAACTACTATAACTTGACCTTTACTGCTGATCATATGCTATGAAAACCATGATAGAAAACAGACATGAAAGACAAAAGTATAAACTTAAACCCATGGTATCAGATCTATAGCAGGCTGATTAGCAAATTGTCAGTCACTTAAGTCACAGCTCACTTCAACTTTTGACTTCCCGCCAACAAAATCAAGGGGGAGAGAGAAAGAGAGTGACACACACTTGGTGACAAAATCGCTCACGTCTTGAAGACTTCTTAAATCAGGAACTTGATGGTTCTGCACAACCTTTCTTAAATCATTAACAGGCTGTAATCTAATGGAATAATGCCGAAAGTCAATCAGCTTTTTCTCCTTATTATAATTTAGTAACACAATTCTCTGGCACAAAGAAAGTTTGACCTGCAACACAAGCAACATAAGAGGAGAAGCAATACTACTTCAAGCTGATACAAACATCTAATTCATATTGTTCCAGCACTCACAGTGTTAACATTAATGGCTGGAAAGATGTTCTGAAACATAATGGTTGTAAGCTTCAGATGTTGCACCCCAGTCCCAAAATCAGAAAGAACGATCTGGAAAAAGTCATTTAAAAAAATTTGTACAAGTGATCAAATAACAAGTAATAAGAAAATGTACAACTTGACACAGTTTGACACCAACTTCACATTATATATAACACCCCCCCCCCCTCCAAACAAAAAAAAAAAAAAGCTACAAGTTTATGTAAAGCAATTCCTTGATAAAATATATATGGCTTGAGGAATTTTAAATGTCTTTTTTTTTTTTTCTCTACATAGAAGTTTATAAATTAACTTGATGAGAGAAAATTGCGATATACCCTAAGAGAGACATTACCGCTCCCCCCACCCCCCCCCCCCCCCCCCCCAAAAAAAAAAAAAAAGCTACATAGTATATGTAAAGCAATTCCTTGATATATATGGCTTGAGGAATTTTAAATGCCCTTTTTTTTCTCTACATAGAAGTTTATAAATTAACTGATGAGAGAAAATTGCAGATATACCTAATGAGGACCATTACCCACTTTGTTGGGCTGGACCTATAGGTTCTTTTGCATTAAGACATTACAATAAGTACATCATGATAACATTCTATCAAATGGTAGGAAAGGAAATGACAGATTCCAGAGACACATCTAAACTGAATTTTAATGATTGGTTCATGATGACATTCTTAGGAGTTCAAAACTTCCAAATACCATTTATGATATCCCTTTGGACACTGCAAATAAATAGTACTGCTAAGGTTTGCTGATTTTCAGTAAACTACATTAAGATGGAATCAGTTGCAACAGTATGGAAAACAAGCAAATGCATGACACATGCATGGATTTAGTGTATGCATTCCTCAGAGTATTACCAAGGGCGAGTTTTTGAAAAGATCATGAGGACATCTAGGGCACACTTGAGATTGAGCAACATCAACTGCCAAAGAGTACTCTTGTATTTTAAATGTTAGAGTGGGGGCCTTGTGGCAACCCTCAAGTATGGTGCAGAGGCAGTTTTTGATAACGTGAGGAAATGTGTAACGCCCATGGGCCCTGCAATATTTAAGAAGTCTTTGATATTATTCCGCTTCTTTTCCTGCAATTATAACCACCACCAAGTTAGCCAATTCAAAAATAGTAGGTGTAACAATATAGAATTACATGGTGAGTCCATACAAGAATTGAACATGCATCATCATTGAAATTATCCCATGAATGAAAGGAAAACCCTAAAATTCTTAAGAATGGGTGGGAGCCATTTAGTTCTTGAACTTACCTATCAACCCCATACAATTTGAAAACCTCAAAACTCTTTTGGAGCATTCAGCTAGCCACCATAAACCATAGATACCACAAGGGGTAAACAAACTGAGTGGTTGAATTGAAAAGATAAGGTCAAAATTGGAAATTTTCGAATGCATTCACCAGAAGTAAATATCTCTTAACAAGTCTACCTCTAAGCAGCAATAATTTGTTCCAAAGTACTTTCAAACTTATGCCATAAACAATTGTTGGAAGTTGTTTTAGCTACATCTTGTATAGCATGAATGAATAGAAGAAAATCATAACCTTAAGCTTAAGGGCAGTATATGGAAGCATCAACCTTCTCAAGTCCGCTTGCAACCGTCTAAGAGAACCGGGCAACTCCCCTCTTGAAAA